GGAGAAACTTCCTGACAGTGAGAACAATTAACCAGTGGAACAACCTGCCTCCAGAAGCAGTGAATGCTCCAACACTGGAAGTTTTTAAGAAGAGACTGGACAGCCATTTGTCCGAAATGGTATAGGGTTTCCTGCCTGAGCAGGGGGTTGGACTAGATGACCTTCAAGGTCCCTTCCAACTTTACTATTATTATTATTAACAAGTCCCTGCGGTCACATAATCATGATATTTGCACACCCCGGGTGGCTTTGCACAAGCAGTCAATAGGAAAGCCAACGGGAAATTGGAAGATCAAGGATCCTTGTTTAAGGATCCACACTATTCTTATTTAACAACCTTCAAGGTCCCTTCCAACTCTGTTATTCTGTTAAAGTAGGGCTGTAGAGCTACTGGAATTGCCATCACTAAGTGATGCAGTCACATCACATCATAATTTATGACTCTGTCACTTAGCAATGGCTTTTCTCATCCCAATTGCTGTTGTAAGCCAAAGACTACCAGTGAACATCCCTAGGGGTGAACTGAGGTTTCCAGACCATTTTCAAAGCAGACCCAGGCTCAGCAACTGCAATAATCCAAATGCATTTTCTATTCGTTCAGGAAATTGCCAGAGCATGAATGATTACTATGTGGCTGTCTCTAAATCTGAGTCTTTTCACATGAGAGAGGTAGGTGAAACAGAACAAACGTGAATAAGCCTACTTAGAATTATCCCTACCTTTAAAAAATCATAAAGATGTTTGAGGATTCCAATGCGTACTTCATCCAGATCTTTTAAGAAACCATTGAAAATAGGCACCAAATCGGCTGCTGTTAGCTGATCTCCCAGAATTACAGCCAACTCGTGAATGGAAAAAGCAAGGGTGCGTCGGACTTTCCACTGAAAATAGTTCACAGAACAGTACAGAACAGCTGAGTAAGTACAATAAGATTAAAAGAATATTTAAACAAGGAAAACCTAATGTATGCAAATTTACAATGCAACCACGTTATCAATAAATCTTTTCTCTCAGTACTAGAACCAAAGATAATTCAATGACACTGAATAGTCGGCAATTTCAGACTAGCAAAAGGATAAACCTTTCCACATAAAAGTATCAAAATCCAGCATTACTTTGCTTGCCTGATGAGGAAGCAGACATCTTTGTTAGGTGTAACAGTTCAGTATTAGTATTTCTGATGGGATAGATACACCCAACATTTTTTTTTCGGGGGGGGGGGGGGGGGGGGGGGCGGAGGCGGCTCATGTAGAATTTCAAAAATGTAGCGTTAGTATGGACACTTTCATACAGTGGCTATTCATGATGGGCATGATGAATCAGAAAACACTCATTTACTGGAAAGCAAATAGTCTAAGACTACTTCTGCCATAATATGTAACCTCCACCCCGCCCCTGAATGTTATGCTATTTGGTCTTTTTTTCTGGGCAGATGTGACTTTTTCTTATGATATTCTCTTCATAGAGGTTTTCATCCAAAAATTAACTATTTAAAAGAGTATGTGTAGCTCAAGGTCGAACTTTGGAGTCCTTGGTGTTCACTTAGCTTGGTTGTTTTCTTGCAGACATTTCATTACCCATCGGGATAATGTCATCAATGCCAGGTACTGATGATCTTATCTAATTGGGCAATGAAACATCTACAAGGAAACTACCAAATTCAGAGAGCACCAAGGGCTCCACAATTAACTATTTCCATGAAACCTAGAAAAATATGGACTTGATTAATTTTTTTACCATTATAAACTATCATTCCAAGCGGGCTAGGCAATATCTTATTTATCCCTCATTAGCCTGATTTAATGTAGCTCTAGTAGAGACCACTGATAAAAGTAAGCCATTTATGCACAATATAAATGTATATAATAATAATAATAATAATGATGATGATGATGATGATGATGATGATGATGATGATGATAAAGTTGGAAGGGACCTTGGAGGTCATCTAGTCCAACCTCCTGCTCAGGCAGGAAACCCTATACCATTTCAGACAAATGGCTGTCCAGTTTCTTCTTAAAAACTTCCAGTGTTGGCGCATTCACCGCTTCTGGAGGCAGGTTGTTCCATTGGTTAATTGTTCTAACTGTCAGGAAGTTTCTCCTTAGTTCTAGGTTGCTTCTCTCTTTGGTTAGTTTCCACCCGTTGCTTCTTGTCCTGCCTTCAGGCGCCTTGGAGAATAGCTTGACTCCCTCTTCTTTGTGGCAGCCCCTGAGATATTGGAACACTGCTATCATGTCCCCCCTCATCCTTCGCTTCGTTAAATTAGACATACCCAATTCCAGCAAACGTTCCTCATATGTTTTAGCCTCCAGTCCCCTAGTCATCTTTGTTGCTCTTCTCTGTTCTCTTTCTAGAGTCTCAGCATCTTTTTTACATCGTGGTGACATTTAGAACATGAGCCCTACTGGATTCATCTACTCCAGCAGTCTATTCTCACAGAGCCAACCCAGTACAGATAGCATTCAGAAGCAGCCATGCTGCCATCAGCGCTAATATAAACCCAACAAAAAAACATACAGACCAACAAGGTATCAATTTTCTGAAGTATCTACTTCCTTAAGACTTACTTAGGGAACTTACTTAGAGAGGGATTATCTTAAACAAACCAGCACAGATTAATAATACTGCATGCTTCTCACACATTTCTATCCGTAGCTTAAACAATGCAAAGCAATACTGATTGCTTTGTATTTTACCTGTACGTCTGATGCTAAAGTTTCATAGGTGTCCTTCAAACAATGCCAATTTTGCCTGCCAAGTGTCAAGGCCACACCAGGTAGACTGTAGGCACAATGTTTTGCGATTTCAGTATCAACTGTCTGTGCTCGAGCAGGGTCTGTCATAGATAAATACTGCTCCAATAAAGGCTGAGGTATAATGTCCTGAAGATAAAAAAAAAGAATACTAAATTATTGATAACAATAAATTAAACAAGAGTAAGGATATACCACTACTAAAAGACATCTGTTCTTTTAGTATAGCATTCTATCTCTTCCTCCAGATGGCAACCACATAATGCCAGTGCAGAAATATACAATGGGCCAAACACAATCAGTTCTGTAATAGGGAATAGTCAGTTTCTTCTACAGTAAGTCACATATGCTAAATCTCACACCAGTCTGCCAATGAACTAGATAAAAGGAACTGCAAATAAATTACAAACCACAAATAGGCACATTTTGTGGTTATAGTATTATAAAATTATACATGTTTACAACATTGATGGCAGTGGATCAACCTTTGATATCTCAATGTTTGGTTTCTATTTTAACATTAGTTACACAATATAGTTATTACATTCTGAAATTGGTTACAAGAAATCTATGTAATTCACAAGTAATAAATAACTGTTCAAGCCAAACTATCTTTATTTTTTATGATAAAATCCAAAGCTGAAGAAAATTCCAAATAGGATAAGTGAAATATTCAATCTGGCTAAATCTACATTAAGTATAGTATTTTTTATAATAAAAGGAGACAAGATGCAGATTTAAAATAATGCATGGGGCCAAGTTTGAAAATAAATGTTTTCTCAAGCTTAAATTTCTATACATAATAATCAAAACATGCATCAATCAGCACTGAATTACAAGAGTTGGTTTAAGAACAGGTTTTTTTAAAGTCTCAATTTTAACCAGGAATATCAGAAAAATTGGAAACCTGCAATTTTGATTTATCTTCTTCAAGACGTGGATCATTCTCTTGTGCCTCTAAAGCTTTGTTGACATCATTGTGTTGTTCTTCTGACCTCTGTAAAAGTGCATAATAATAAAATATACAACAGTGTTAAAGTGCAGTACAACTGAAATGCAACAAAAAGCCTATTCCTAAGAACTGAATTACTATTGTAAAAAAACCAAAAGTATCACTGTATTATATTGCTTCTACATTCCAGCTTATATTGAACATTGGGCCAAGTATTGAGAAAACCAATAATCAACATTTGCTTCATTTGGCTTGGCACAAAAGCAGAAAATTTCAAGCTTAATATTTATTCTTCTTCCCATGTCAGCATTAGGATACCATTTTTTTAAACATTTTTCTAATAATTCACTGAAGGTCTGAGTGGCCTATCTGCAGGTCCTCAAGCTTTATGTAGGACTTTGCCAATCTAAGTATTTATTGGGAGAACTTCCAAGGTTCAGTAATTAAAGGTAGGCTTCAGCTTGCAATCGCAACTGGAAATGGAATCTCGGTCGTAGAGTGAAGCAGTAGCTAAGCAAGAAGGCGACAAGACTGCATCACTTAACGACCGCAACTCTTGAGTTGTGCTCGTTAAGCTATGTCTTGGGTTGTTAAGCGAAGTAAAATAGATGCCTACTGATTTCAGCTTCCCTCCATGCACCAAAGGGAGCTCCTCTGCAGGGCTGCAGGAACGGAGCTCAGATCTTAGGGATCTGATCTCTGTTTCTGCAGTCCATCAGAGGAGTTCCCCTCCCCTCAGCAGGCAGCCCCTTTTACTCTCAAAGAGCTACCTGTCAAGAGAGAATTTCAGCTACCCAGCAGGTGGCAACAGCTTACAACTTTTCCTACCGGCTTCCCCACTGACTTTCTAGGGAAGCCAGTACAGGAGATTGCAAATGACTATCACACGTTCACAGGTGATTGCCAAGCACCTAGATCATAATCATGTGACACGGGGATAGCAGTGCAAATATTTTGCAATGTCTGGTAATGTTTTACCAGTTGTAAATTGAGGACTACCTGTAGCTAGCTTTTAGGTTATCTTACGTCTAACTGAGTGAAACTTTCAAGTTGCATTTGCTTTCTAATGTAATTTTCAATCCCCTAAGGCAGGGGTAGGCAACCTTGGCTCTTTTATGACTCGTGGACTTCAACTCCCAGAATTCCTGAGTCAGCCATGCTGGCTCAGGAATTCTGGGAGTTGAAGTCCACAAGTCATAAAAGAGCCAAGGTTGCTGAAAATATGAAATGAACAATTATCATATAGCTTTTGATTAATTATTGTTACTTATAAATATTATTATATATAATTTATATATATAGTTTATAGTTAAGTTGATTGTATATTAGAGTTACAGTAAGTTTATACTTGTTTATATTATGAATGGGTTGTTTGGGTTAAACTTGGATTATTATGTGATTATTCCTGTACTCAGCTCTGGGAAGTCCGGGGGGGGGAAGGGGATTAGGGGATAGAAATTATAAAAATTGATGTATTTATATGTTATAGGTAAATAATGGAATTGTATTGAAAAGAGGAGATGCTCGGCTGGTACCCCAAACTGCACTCGATGAGGTGGTTAAGAAGGGAGATGGGATGTAGGTAGGTGGAAAGGAGGAAGGAGGAGAGGTTGTGGGTCTAGGGGGAGGAAGGAGAGGAAAGTGAATGAGGGTGGAGGCAACACGGGGACTGCCGAGCGTCTCCGAAAAAGTATTGAGTAGGATTATCTTTTTTGCTTGTGTATGTAAATGCATCATATTGGTATTTGCTGTTCAATTACAAAAATTAATAAAAATTTTATAAAAAAAAAAAAAGAGCCAAGGTTGCCTACCCCTGCCCTAAGGGGTACCTGGCTAAAATTCAAAGAAACCAAAATTACTGAAAATGATTGATTGACCATCACCTGTCCTTTCCCACAACACATATTTACCGCATTTTGTATTATAGTTGGATCAGGTAGCTCAATCACATCAGCCAGACTTGGCAATGAAGATAAGATATTCTCATCTGTTCTGGAAGTACAGACCAAATTTGGGATGTCTTCTTGGTAGGTATCATTAATTTCCACATTCTGCCTGCTGTCACAGCCACCGACAGAATCAAGATGGGCAGCTCTGAGTGCAGCAGACAGTACTTGAACCTGAGCTGATTGAATGAAATAAATCCCATTAAGTTTTCAAATACTGTACCACATTTTCCAAAATATTAAAAACATATAAAGACTTTCACTAAAACAGCTGTGACTAATGAATGAAAATATTTTATACACTGGTTCTTAAACCAGCAAAGGTAGGTTTATTTATGGCTATAGGGAATGTTCAAATCTAGAAATATTTATAAAGACAGGATGATCTTGGAAGTCACATATAAACATTTCATGCAGGTTCTACACACATTGAAACTGTCTTGAACTCTACCAAGTGAGTCACCGACTAAGAATGACATTCTGAGCACTCTTAGTAGACATAAAAAATATTAAATACAGTGAGACTGCCTGCTGAATAAAAATAGTTAGGGTTGGCGCTTAAAAATAGTTTTTATTTGGAAGTTGATCATTTGAACTTGTTTTGCTTAATGAAATGAATTATGCTGAATGATTGAAGTCTGGAGCTATTATAGGTAACTGACTGAGGGAAAAACAAATGGCACTGATGCTCACTTCATGAAAACACATCCCCTATATGAGTCATAATAGGAGTCCTAATAAGATCAGGTAGAATGGCTGTGGGATATGCTCATTACGCTTGTATTAATTTTTTTTCAGGGCCTTAACCAGTTTTTTTCTTTGGTGGACTATGGATTTATTTTTGCTTTTATCTTTGTTTATCTTTGTTTGAATGCATTTGACAGCTGGACAACCATATAAATGTCTTAAATAGTTAAATAGTGTCTGAAGACTGGGAAATTGGTAAGGAATTGGTAAGACAGAGTGGCTGATTATGTCTGGGAAGAATGGGACTATCTGTAGTCCTTGGCTTATGACCAGTCATTTAACAACAGTTCCAAATTATAACACATTTGCAAATTGGTACTTATGACCAGACCTTGAAGTTACAATTGCCACCCCCCCCATGCCAGTCACATGACTGTATTTAAGCATTTGACAACTGGCTCACATTTATGATCTGATGCAAAATCCCATAGTCTTGTGACCATTATTTGTGACACTTTCTGCCAGTTTTCAGCCAAAATACCCATTCATATGAATGGATTGTTTAATAGTCATGGATTTAACAACTGCAGTGATTTGCTTTACAACCACTGCAAAAATGGTTGTAAAATCTAGTTTGGTCAAGTGCTGCCTCAATTTGCACAACTCTTTACATGATGCAAACATTCAACTCCACTATTTAGCAAATTTAGCCAAATTATCCTTTAGCTGCCTAACATCTGAGCATAGTCACAAGTCTACTTTATAAGGGCTATAGAGACAATCAGGACTCTTTTCACCCAACAATTAGGACTATTTTCAACTATTCTCTGCCCTCTGCCAGATTATCACTATCCTCTTTCTGGACCACTGTCTTAACTATGAGAGCATCTGCCAGTTCATCAATAGTTGAATCCATACAGTAGTTGGAATACAAGCCCAATTCTCCTGTAGGAGTGAATACGGTTTGGAGACTCATGCTAAATGGGTTTTGCTTATTCTTTTTTTGATGTCCCCTGGGAAAATAAAATATTGGGAGAAACACATGCATAGAATTATAAACCCAAGAAAAAAACGTGGGCATTCAGATGATGGTAAAAAGCAAGGAACCCACCACACCATATCTGGACAGCAAATACTAGGAATAAGAAGTCACAAGGAAATAATTTACCAAGCTCACACAAGAACCACAGAACAGCAATTGGAGATATCAAAATTAATAGTTCACTGCCATGTAGCAAGCCATATTTGACTCAGCAAACTAATATGCCAATGAAAGGCTGAGGTGACATAGAAAACAATATGTGATGGATGCTAAAAAAGGATAAAAGGACATACACATCATTGTTGGAACATCCCCAGTTTGTGCATGCAAGTATCACCTATGAAATGCTCCTGTCCTTCCCAATCTCTGCATATCTCCCAGTTAGTGTGTACCAGGGCATGAAAATATAAGAAATGTACATACAAGTATAAGTCCACTAGAGGGATCTGAGTTTCATGACACTATAACAAGCATAAAAAGCATTTTTTGATGCTATTTCTATATTTTAAATTACTTTAATTTATGGTTTCTCTCATGGTCAAAATTCCCAGAGAGCCTGCAAACAAGTCCTTTGAAGAACAAGCTATCTGCCCAAGTGAATAATGGCGGGAAGAAGTGCAAGCCAGGCAGAAATGTGTTACGGAGAAATATTAGTCTTGATGAGTTTAAATTGTGATTCACAAATGGGTTCGCCTTACTGTGCTCCATCCCGTTTTCTTACACTTCTTTGGAAAAAAAAAGAACAAGATGCAGAATCGTCTCTCTCAGACCAGCTGAAGAAAAAAAAAAGCTATTCTCAACTAGAAGACAGAGCAAAACCTGAATAGGGAAAGATGTTCTCCACCAGATGCCAAAAATTTAGCCCTGCCTTCTGACACTTTCCTGACAGTTCCGTCTTTGATGACTCAGAATGGAAGTTTTTATGAGTGTCAGGAAAACTATACAGAGCTCTGAAAATGCACTGGGGAGGACCATGGCAACCAGACCAGAAATTTCAAGACAACAACACCAGGATGGCTGCTAGTAAAACGTACCTTGAACATCTGGGTCATCCATGTGCTCCTGTAAACTTTGCAGAACTTTTTTAATTTCACTGCTGGCAACACAGTTATTATAAAGTACCTCTGATATCGAGGTGCTCTCATGTCTCTCTGTCTTTCCCTGAAGAAGCTCGATATCCTGGCTTATATCAGGAAGAGGCGGTCGCCAGTATAAGAAAGTATTAAACACATCCTGTCCAGACTGGATTCTTGAGCTAATTTCCTGATATTCGTTGGTTTGACAGTTTTTAATATCATTAGTTAAAAAAGTCTCATCTCCCTGAGGTAATATAGTCTGATCTATTCCAAAATTGATGTGTATGGCTGAACATTGATTCTGTGCATCCAAGTGTGAAATTTCAGAACAAACCACAGGGGTAAAAGAAGATTCCACTGCCAAAGATGCCAATTTATTTTCCATTGATTCCTCTGATCTGAGAAGAGAAATACTGTTAAAACAACAGTGAAAGCATAAAGCCAACATAAACTGAGCTCACCTGAAATGTAGTGGTTTAAATACAGTTTCAACTATGATAGTCTTGGCTTTTCTCTCAAAATTAATCCTGCTTCTGAAAACACTGGTGCTTCATAAGATTAGACAAACTTAACTTGTTTAAGTAAATTCAGTTATTTACTAATTACCTGGAGTCTGCTGTGAGGTCAATAAACTGACACTGAATTCTAATTTGTCTGATCAAGGAGACCCCAAGATCAAATAAAAGCTTTATCGCACCACTGGGGCTCCTTCTCACATTCAGAAGAGAAGGAAAGCGATAAAACAAAAGTCCAATGACTTCTGAAATTCTGGATTAAACTTTGAAGTATTTCTTTTCAAATTTTGCATCAATGAAGTAATTGGTTTGAAGCTATCTTGCTGTAAAAAGTGTCTCTTAGAAAGACTTATGATCACTACTTTATCCCTAATCTGATATATGCAGTTTATTTCTACCATGTTTTCAACCCTGCTAGTCTATGTAAGTCATAAAGAGATGAAACAATTGGAGAAATAAAAAAAACAATATTTTTTTTGGATCCAAGCAAATATGAGACAGAATAAAGTAAATTTCCCATTTCTTTATGGGGCATTCAGACATTTACCTTTCTAATATTACACTTACTGTTATTTTTTAAAGAAGAGCTCTTTCTGTTGTCTCATATTTTAAAATCTGGTTTTCAAAGTTATGATTAAATACCCCTTTCAATTCAATGCTAAACAACTTCTGAAAAACCGGCACATAAGATACTTGCTCATATTTAATAAGCTCACTTCATTTTATAATGTTAAATATGGATTTTGAAATATACAGTTGCATCACTAGTTATATTAAATCACTGCACACTTTAAAAACTGTTATAATTATAAAGCTGGTGGAAATAATATTTTATTACATAAAATACTTTTTGAAATGAATATTGCATTTTGAGCTATCAAAATTAGAATCCTTCATCCTGAGAAATACAACAACCCCATTAATGGTTTCTCAATTGGATCAAAAACAGTTTCAAGCTACCCAGTTACCATTAATGCCAAATCACTATACCTAGATGGCTTTAAATTTGCACTGTGATCTGGGCATGGAGTACAAGGCCGGATGCTGAGCGTCCCATCCTCACGAATATAAAGACCAGCACTGGAAGGGTTTGCAAAAGTAGAAATAAAAGGACCAAGTGATTGGAAAGCAGCTTGACGAACCTAGAATATTGGAAATATAAGAGAATACAATGGCTTTGTACTCTTTCCTATTAAAGTTAAATGTTCATGAATTACATGTTTAATATAATTCAAAAGTGAAACCATCAATTCAGATTGGCACCTTTAATGCCACTTATTTGGTCTTGTTACAAAATCCATAAACTCTAGGGAACAGATACTCAGTTTCTACAAAAGAAGAAATATTATAACTTCACTGTATTAGTGTGATAGAAGAAAAGAGAAGAACCAGACAACCAGCAGCAACATGGGCTCAACTACAGCCGTGAAGGCACCAATGGAAAACTCGAAGGACCAGTTTTAGGGACAGACCCTCCAGGAGAAAATCCATTTTATGGTTGCTGGCATCAACTTGACAGTACATAATCAATCAATATTAGTGAGAACAGTGTAATTGCTTCAAACGTGTATATTTTATTTTTAAGGCTACAGGCCATGACCAAAAATAACAGTTGCAAAAAATCTAGCTTTTATTAATAGGCAGCTTTGATTGGAATTAATTTTGTCTAACATCAATGGAAACATCAGTACTATCTGTAACTGCATGATACTTCAGCAGCACTGAGTTCTACTATATTTTTGCAAATTTATTAATAACTAGGGGGAAAATGAGTGATAATATAATCAAAAAGATCAGAATATGTCCCCAAATCTGCGATATTACTTGCAACGAATAATTGATTCAAGCTCCACTGTTCAAACTGCATACAAAACCGAACACAAAATATTTATTTGCACAAACAGTATTCCCTTTGAGTTTTAATATGTGGAAACTACTTTTGAATTTAATTTATTTTAGAGATATAGGAGATGCTGATAGAAGCTAACAACGTTGCTATTAAATCAAACCATGATCATGCATGGCATTTTTCAACATATTCATTTGCTTTTATCAAAGATTTTCTGCTTTTAAGGAATCACTGCAATTTAAGATGAACAAATCCAGATTCTATTTACCCATCTACAAGGATCACTGATGAGACCGATGAAGAGGGGAGACAGTTTGGTCCTCCGAACCTCAGGAGAAACAGTACAGGAGACAGCCATAAAACATTCAGCACAAGCTTTCCGCATACCCCAAATGTTATCAGAGCAGAGCTCAAAAAACTTTGGAATCTGCCAAAATAAAGACACAGCAGAACAATTGATTTGCTTGTATACATTATCTAGTCTGCTTGGAAAATGTTTACTTACAAATACTTATCAGATTAGTAGGCAAAACAAACATTCATCTAGTACAGTGGTGGCAAAGCTATGGCACGCGTGCCAGAGGCGGCACTCAGAGCCCTCTCTGTGGGCACGTGCGCCATGCCCCAGAGATGGCAACTGTCCCTCTTCAACCAGCCACCCGCTAACTCGCCAAGGTCCCACGGGGCTGGATGCATCCCAGCACCCATGCGCTCGCTGGCCTCTGTGTGAGGGGCCGATGGTGTCAGGCAGCAGCCGCCCCGGCCCCTGCTTCACCTTGCCCTGTGACAATGGCTCCCCCGCCCTGCCTCACCTTGCCTCGCTTCACCCTGCAGAACGAGCCTCCTGTCCACCGCCCCACCTGCTAGAGACCTCCTGGATTTTCCCCAACCCTGCCCAGCCCCCACAGGCGTCCCTCCCCACGAGCAACATTGAGGTGATCATGCTCACCTTGACCACACCCACCCAGTCTGCCATGACCACCACAGCCACGCCCACCCAGTGGGCCACACCCACCTGGCACCCGGTGATAAATAAGTGGGGTTTGGGTTGCAGTTTGGGCACTCGGTCTCTAAAAGGTTCACCATCACTGATCTAGTAGTTTGTAGCAAAGAGTAAATGCTTTATCAAATGATTTAATCACAAATGAATGAAAACATGCAAGATCAACTCAGTCTTACTTAGCTAATAACACTATATTAATGCAATTCATCTAAGTATATAATGGAAAGCTCAGTTTCTTGAAAATGTCATTCTAATTTGAGTCTCTGATGAGAAGCTGACAGCAAAACTTTAAAAATATTCATGTCCTTTTAGCAAAGCTTACGAGAGGAATATGAACATTGAAGGATCAACATTGTAAAATTAAGTTATCAATAGTAGCGCATCATCACACCCAACTAAAGATCAAACATACTGCAGTTTTAGCCTGAAAAAAAAAATCTGACATTTGATGAATTTCTGAGAGGTGAGAAACAGAAAAAAAGTATATGGGGCAAAACCACAAATTTAATATTATCTTCCTACAGACACTACAAATTCTTTAAAATCATAATTTTTTCCTCATCTTCAGTTATCCATATACAGTTTTGGTCTTATAATCTGATTATGGCCTATAATGTGATATGAGAACCCAAAATAAGGACGTGAGGGAGATGAAAAGTACACCTAACATTCTATCAAAAGAAAACATTATTGAATTTGTTTCTCCTTTCTACAAGCATGCTGTTCTTCCAACAAAATATTCTCCTGGACATGTTCAAATTCCCAATACAATATACCATTCCAGAATGAAAGTCACTTAAATGGTTTCCTTTAACCCAGCTCTGCTTAATCTTATGCAGAAGATACTCCAAGTGTCAGAGAGATGGATTCATTCCTTTGTCAATAGTCATGGATTAGTCAGGCAATAGAGTAATCCTATAATTTGTTTTAGAGTTTTTTTAAACCACATTTACCTTTTAAAATAATAATAAATCATGGACACAAGGGAATTGCAAGAATGTGAACAGGAAGAGGTGTGTGTGTGTGGAATTTATAAGCATCATGATGGAATGGAAAAAATAAGTTTTCTTAGTGAACCAGAGTGGCCAACATACAATCTATTAGTGTTTTGCAAGCTGCAGCAATTTAAGAAAAGCCGAATTAAAGGAGTCACGCTTTTCTTTTCTGAATTTAGGAATGAGAGTTGGGGTCAACAAAACGAAACTTCTTTTTTTCTGGCAATAATTTTGTTTGCCAACCCAAAAAGGTTCAGCCATGGCTGAAACTCAAGAACAACATTTTAAAATGAAGACATTTTTGGAAGCAATAAATATTACTTAATAGCGGAGAAAATAAATATTTGTTCAGCCAGATCAAACAAGTTCTAGTATCTTTGAATTGTACAGTACTGAATGTATTAAGGTCCAGCAATTATTGGAAGGAGGAGTCTCCAATAAAGTTTTTCCATTAATCCAAGCATTTCAGAGGAAGAATCTGCTTTGTATGCACACAGAACACATTAATTTGGTATTCTTATATGACATGGGCTGCAAACAGCATGAAATTCCAAGATGTCTAACTTGACTCTCAGATTTTAACATACCAAATTCTTTTCTGTGGCTTCTTGCCCAACTGCGCTGCATATATCACCAAAACTGGCTGCACAGACCTAAAGCAAAAGAAACAAATATAATGCTTGTTTGTTGATAACATGTTACTCTAATTTTGTGTTTCTTTATACATACAAACTTAATTATAGACCTTCATGAACAAAAGCTGAATGCTACACCACAAACATGCACAAGAGTGGGTTGTGGGTGGGAAACTGTGTTGTCATGATGGAAATGCTGTTTTATGTTACTTGCTTCACAGGTCAAAATGGGAACACAGATTGATGGGATTTATATCATAAAGTCAACACGTGCATGACATTTATTTGGATATAATCACCTTCTGTGCTTTTATCAGACAGTTCTTGTATGCATGCCTGTATGCATGTAATCTCAGTTAGCCCCATTAGAATATTTATAGCAATAAGGGCTTAAATGGCCTTCAAGTGTGCATCAGTTGATTTGTATTGGCTATGGTTGATTTCAGATGGGTGTCAGTTGTCAATTATACTTCATAACAGCCACTTTAATGAGAGTGGCAGTTCAAAATGTAAAACAAGATATACTTGTTTTGTCATTTATATAAAAAGTTTAAAAAATGGGATGGGGGGTTCAATAGTACTTACAGGTTAAGTTAATTTAATTCCAAAATTTTATTAGGTATGTTCCAATGCAGATGACTAAATTAGTATAAAATCAACAAATGTTAACCTTCCGGACTTGAAAGAGTTTTCCATCACTGCAAAGTTCACAGAATCGAGGAAGCAGCAAGCGTTCAAGAGTAGATTTGTTCACCATAGATGCCATTTTGCAGATTATCTATTGAGAAAAAAAAAATCCTTTTTTTCTTCATTTTATCATTTTCTTTAGATTTTTAGCAATTCCGTTTAAAAAATATATTAAAATGCTTGGGAACAATATTACAGTTCAAGAATAAAAATTTATCAAGTACACAGATATTAAGGCATACCATCATGGAATCAGTTAGTTTTGAAATTGAACAATATATAAATACAATTTCTTTAAACAAATAGTGACTATATCTAGTTGATCTCATACTAGCTTTTCATCTCAAGCTTTAAGAACAGATACCATTCTAAAATCCAATTTTTAAAGATGTACAAAATTATTCATTTGGTTGAATGAAATTTTGAATGAGATCGCTGCTGAGAGGGTAAGACACTAAAATAAATTGAACACATTCCTGTTCAAATGATAGAGAGAGATCAATATTTGGAAAACTGCTGAATAATATGCCAATAACAAAGGTGAAATTTAATTAATAACACTGTTTTTACATAATTATATAAATATTAAAATTGATATCAATTCAGAAAAAAACAATCACAATAAATATGCTACGTACATTGACTGCCTCCACTTTGTATTCATCATCACTTTCTGGAGCAGAAAGTTCCAATAGAATTGGACACACCTTATTTTCAATATCATGTTGAGCAATAAGTTGTTGATCCAGTAATATTAGCAGTGAATCCTGGCTTGCTTTTCTAACCTAACAACGTGCAACGGAGAAATAATAATATATTAGGGAATAATATCTTGTGACCAACATACGTGAATTTTCTTACAGAACACTTAAGCTCTATTGTTTTATCACAAGATTATGCATCACGGCATTGCATTGTGGTTTTATGGGCACACGTTTTATCCATATCCTGGATTTTTGAGAGGAAGGCAGGCAGCACATACTAATTTGGTTATATTAAGCTGAAAATTCTCAGAACACAATTTAAGTGTTTGTTTTAAACATAAAGACATATATGGTTTGACAGTTTGGTACTTATAGCTTTACTTCCTCTAGACCAAATATGTCAAACTTGCGACGTCACGTGAATCGCGCCACGTATCGGAACTTTTCCCCCATTGCCGGCAATGGGGTGGGCGCGGTTTCCTTGTAACACGCCCGGCCCGCAGGCCGGCAGTTTGACACCTCTGCTCTAGACCTTGTCCGTCCAATTCTTTAAGTGTAGACCTTCTTGCCAATATTTTTAATGGTCTCACAGAGGAGAGGTAAAACAGTACAGAGATCACAAGCAATGATTCTCTATTGCAGTCCCCATTTCATAAAACGAGGGGGGATGGGTCCTAAAATTAGACTGGCCTTCCATCAACTGTTTAAAAATGCAACTGTTCTGGATGGCCTTTTAGAAATAAATTACTAATGCCACACTTATGGTTTCATATTGTTTAAGTATGAACCAGCTTTATGTTTTTAATCTTATCTTGGAAGTTGTTGGTTCCTTCCAATAAAACATAATTAGGATTAAACACAGTTCATACAGATTTAGATATTATAAGGAATGGTTAATCAAGAATAGAAAGAAAAGTCTCTAAATGTCTCTTGATAATTATGTCATAGGAGGATATGCAAATCACACTGCATATCAAGCTAAATCAAGGTATCTAACTGAATATTACAAAAAAAATTTACCACAACTGAGTGAACAATACATTATCAAGGTATCTAACTGAATATTACAAAAAGAAATTACCACAAATGAGTGAACAATACATTCCATTCAGAAAACGATACCTGATTATTTGGATCTGTGAGGTATCTCACCACTATAGGCATAAGGTATTCGGAAAATGCTGCAGGGAAGTTAGGCCTACTCTCCTGTAGAAAAATGGCAATGGGTGGTATCTGTTCCATTAATTCTGTCCGTACAGTAGGTTCTAGAAATTAAAATTTTAAAAAATTTAAAAGATACTTTAAAAGATACTCCCATTAGCGACTGAGAAGGTGGATCTAGGAAGCCCACAAATAGTTAATGTTCATTCACTGTTTCTCCCTGGCACTGACATTAAGCATGATGCCTCCAATAAAAAAGGCAGCATACAGCCATCAAACTATTAAAAACAGTGTTCCATGATTTTTTCTAGTCATCTTTTAATACTATTTAATAAATTGATGGATATCACAGTATCTGCTAGCTGCAATTTCTATAGTTTAACCAGTAATATAATGTAAAAAGTAGAGAAAGTGTAAAATGTCTTCTATTGTTCAGAATTTTCATTAGTTTCAATGGCTGATCCAATGCTAATTTTTTGAAGAAAAAAAAGAATTGTCTCTATCAATATTTTTACTTCGTGCACGATTATATCTCTAAACTATTCTCTCCTTTACAAAACTTCTTTTAAAGCTAAACAGCTCCAAACACCATAACCTTTCTTCACAAAGGAGTTATTCCTGCCCAATACTCTATGTGGTTGATTTTTCTTATGCTGTCCCCAGAAATATATCCTATCTGAACAGCAGTAGAACTGAAAATACTTTAAATGCAATTTATACTGCATTATAAACTGATAAAAAATAGAAAAATAGAAACAAAATAATGTAGTAAAGAAAATATATGAAGAAATCTCCCTCCTTTACCATAAATATAAACAATTTTAGTAATTTATCACTTTCTCATAGTCTTTACTTCCCATGTAGAATCTCTTATCTATAAACAAATCCTTAAAGCCTCATCAATTCAATCCTAATGTCAAGAAAAGTCCATTAAAGGTTGCTGGAAATAAGAACACCTCTATTTTAACCTTGATTAAACAAATCAACTTTATATTCTCTCCTTTTACTTTTAACAATCTTGATTTTTATACCCTACAAATAATGATTTTTTTTCATTTTCTCTTTTTCCCATATCACAAAATTCTTCAAAGCTTTAACAAGACTCTCTTGTAAACCCAATAAAATTATCCAGGTCTTGGTTTGCTATTTGTATATCCCTTTTATTTATTAAGACATCAGCCAATTTGTTTTGAATGTCCGGTGTAACACCTTCTCCCATGTTAATCTTATAATTTGTCATTTTCAAATCCACTTTCAGGTCAGTCTCAATTTGTCAGATAAAATTTATTCCTTTTCTATAACAACTTTTAACACAGAGACAGACACTCTTAAAATTACCTTTTGCGTCCTTTGTTCCAAAACATCCTTCAAGTATGTCCAATGTTAAAATATTTTGCTTCATTCTATATTTGTAAGTCGAATGTGAGTGTCTCTTTCAATTGCAATTTGTAGTTCCTTCTAGTTCAATGTGGAAAAGTATTTTCCACAGGAAGGATTCCTTATGATTAATTCCAAAATCTTATTTCAAATTCATCTAGACTCTCGATCCATTTTTAAGCATCCTTTTGCTGTTTATTTTTTAAAAAATCCATTTCCCAGTCCCTCAGAGATAAGAACCAATTTTAGAGATAACGTACATATTTTTCAAAAGGCCAGCATTTTCATAATTCAGTTCCTTAAGAAGCAATAAGCAGAAACCCTCTGGACCCAATATTGTGTTAATTATTTTAATGCCACCCAATTTTGACAGCTAGATGTTTTCAACACATTAGCTACTGATACTCTGGTATGAGAGCATATAGAACAAAAACCAAGGGATACCTGCATAGTTCCAAATGTGTTTGTTTTAGTGTGCCAAGAAAGCCCCCTCTTTTTTTTCTTGTCTAAAATCTTTGGAGATAAAAACCAAGAACAACAAAATCTCTTGAGATTTCCAGCAAAAATGAAAAAAGTACATCTGAAAATCTCAGGAGTTTAAAATTTTATTTTGGCATAATACCGTTGTAGCTTACAAAATGGAAATGAATTGTACAAATTATCATTGGGAATTTACAAGATCTTTTAGAGATGCTAATTGTTGTCATCGCAAATCAGGTAAAATACTTAATTCATAAATTTCTGCATTTGATGCCAATTGTCATAAAGGCAAGACTGAGAAAGATTCCTTCTCAAAATCCGTAAAATCTGCCAGTGATTATTCATAAACTAGATTTAGTATGTACAAGTTTACACTCAAATAGAGTAATACAGAGAACACATTTTTAATTAATGAGAGTATAAAGATCAGAAGAATCACCTGTATCTTCAGATAGCCGGACCACTATTGACATAACTGTCAAGAAATCTTCCTCATTATGATTGAAATCTCGAAAGACATCAAGTAGACCTCTGGTAATTATTTGTCTGCACGAGCAACAAATATACACATGTAGTTATTGTTTTGGAACATTAATTCATAATTATAGCTTTGTGAACAAACTAAGAACAGTATAGTATAATTCAGCTACAGGTATATTTTATTTATGTTCAACACAGGGGGACTCGCCTGTAGGACTCATCCTCTTTTCCAAATTACTCAGAGAATAGCTGGCAGAGGATACCATACAAAACAATACTGATTGGGAATCAAAACCTCCTTTTGAACATTTTTAAAGGAATTCTAAACTGAGAAATGGGTCGGGATAGCATCTAAAAGTTAAGTAACTGATGAATTCCAGCTTTTAGAGTATTTTTCTGCTTTCAGCAAAGGAAGGTAAAATTCGTTCATTTCAGCACATATTGATATGTACATATAAGTCGCTGAACATGCACATATAAGATCTAAACAAAAAAGATCAATAATTAAAGCAATTAAATGGCTATGTTACAAACAGAATTTTGCAATGATATTATTACTTATCATAGCAATACTACCGTAAAGTCAAAGCAATTTTTCCCATTTTGTTCTAATACTACTATTTATTACCAAGAAAAGATGTACCATGGATACAAGTACCACAGGTAGTTCTCATTTACCAACTTTCTCATTCAGCAAGCATTTGAAGTTATAATGTTGAAAAAAACTGTGACCAATCTCGCATTTGTGACTATTACAGTGTCCCACAATGACACAAGTGCCATTTGTGCACTTTGCAACTGGCTTGCGAGAAGCAGAGTTAATAGAGATATGTCTCTATCATGATATTTTGCTTAACAATTGCAGTTTCAGTCCTTTTTTTTTAACAACTGAAGAGAAAGTGAGAACGTAAACCTGTTGTGTGGTCATGTACTTTCCACTTAGCAACAGAGTTGGAAATGCCAATTTTGGTAATTAAACAAGGAATAACTGTATACAATTCCCTTCTTTAGATTCCTTATCTCGCCACATAGAAAAAAATCTCTAAATCCATGGATTTTGCAATATCAAAACTTTCTTTAATACTTTATTCAAAACAATGCATACATAATATGATCCTGCTCAAGCAGGGGGCTGGACTAGAAGACCTCCAAGGTCCCTTCCAGCTCTATTCTATTCTATTCTATTCTATTCTATTCTATCCTATCCTTTAAATATTTGGGCCAACTTTCATCAGCTCTAGAAAGCATAGCCAAAAGGATCTAAACAAAAAGTTATTCAAAATATCCAAACAGCATTACAGTAATTGACTATCTCAGTTTCATGAAAATTTAAAGAAATGCAACAAATTAGTAATAATTATTTCTATATTACCTGTTAAATATATTATCACTAAAAGCATATTTTTCTAAACGTCCAAGTGGAGTTAAGTTATCCTGCCCTGGAATGTCCAGGAAAGCAGTTATCCTCATGCTCTCACAATCTGGTCCATAGTCTTCAAACCCAACTTTAAAAAAAGAAAGAAAAATGACATATCAGTATGAGAGGAAAGGGGGGGGGAAACCCAACACAATTTAATATACACATGCGCTCGTGACTGCATTTCCTTTATTTTGCTTCTATAAGTGTATGCTCACTTCCATGGCACAAAGTCATGCCTCAATAGAAAGAATTAAAAAGAAGTTAAATTTGTCAGGTGATATGCAAGAGCAGCAGTTAGTTGCAAAAGAGTGGCTTTAAGTAACTTATTTAAATATACTTCCTTTGTTTCAAAAACATAGGTTTTGGAAAATGCAGTTCACAATGGCTGTCGCAAGATTAATTGGCTACACAACTGCTACTGTAAAGCTGAACTAAAACAATCATTGAGACCAAAACACATATTTTGTCAAAAGTGATCATAAAAAGATAAATCAGGTGAAATCCAGAAGCAACTATATGCAAGGAAACTCAATATAATACTGAAAGTGGCACAATACAAGATTCAAAATCTTAAGACTCCCAGACAAAGTTTTGGATAAGTACAGTAACATTTTTTTAAAAAAAAACTGACAAATTAAACTGTGAATAATTTACTGTATGTATGACATTACATAAATATTACATTACAGGAACATTCATAACACAAGATTTACATCTATCAAAAAAGCTCTGGAACTTTAACTGAAGAAAACAGCTCCAAATTTGAGTAGATCACTTGAAAGTCTACTTCCTTCTCCTTAATTTGGGGAAAAAAGAAACCAATTCAGATATTGACCATCCACGTTATAATCAATAATCCACTACTACAGGCCAGTTATAGATTTATCATTTCAGTGTTCCTAATATATAACGGAGGCTGGAGAGGATGCAGGAGGGTGTGTGAGAGGCACCCATGTGGGTCGAGGACAATGTGCAAGAGGCATGGTGCAGGCTGGGATGGTGCATGATAGATACCACAATGTCATGTCTGGACAGATCTGCTTCTCTATGTGAGCAGTGGTGGTAACCAGGGGATACCTGCCTTCAATATTTTGAACATTGTAGGTGACAGGGCTGCATGCAACAGGAATAGGTTAGCAGGGGTAGGCAACCTTGGCTCTTTTATGACTCGTGGACTTCAACTCCCAGAATTCCTGAGCCAGCATGGCTGGCTCAGGAATTCTGCGAGTTGAAGTCCACGAGTCATAAAAGAGCCAAGGTTGCCTACCCCTGGGTTAGTGCATCAGCAGGAGGCCTGGTTTGTGTTCTGTGATTGTCACAAAAGCTGCCATGTTTAAAGTGGCCATTTGTTTCTTGCAAGCTGCAACGAGAGTCAAAGAAACTGGAGTGTGTGCTGTGTGTGTCACCTTTCAGCAGCTCCAGAGTTTTGTTCTGACAAAAGTGTCTGACAAAAAAAAAAAAAAGCAAAAGTTGTGAACTCTAAAGAGAGAGTTGCTCAGTTGTTGGTATTAAGAAACTGGTGCTGGCTGGAGACTTCCGGTGGCAGGCGATTTCGCTGGTCGCAGCTGTTTGCTGCCTCCCGCCTGTTTTGCGTAAAAGCCGGTTTGACAGCCAGCATCAGCTGTCAAACGGCTTGATACCTTTCCCCTGGGCATAAGGGGATAGGTGAGCTGCCCGGGGTAGGAGTTGAGTTCCCGAGTCGTCCTATATGGACGATGTAGGCGA